TGTAAAATCAGTAACAGACCACCACGTGAGACTAAAGATTCAAGGAACTGATGCCCAATGCAGTTGTTCTGAAGTTTACTGCAGTGGCTGTTTACTGTTTGTTTGTGACGTTTACTTTTCTACCTTTGAAAGAAAGTAGTGAACCATTGAAAACCTTGAGTGTCATTAAGCATGTCGTATACATTGCCATTCAACATTTAACAGAGCTGCTTGGCAGTTTATACTGAAAGTCTTGTTCCAACGAAGTATTTATTCTGTCACTTCCCACAGACCAGAAAATCTACAGTCCCTGCGCAGTCACCAGTGCTCATTGTTTGACTTGTGATCATGTTATAAATTCCATAAAATATCGAGCAGCCTAAAAAATTATGCTAAATTTTAGGAAGTTAGCCTTGATCGCAGGGTATGACCAGAGAAATAAAAACAGACCCAATTTTCCAGACTGAATAGTGAGGATAGTTTATTTAAGCTTAATTTTTCTTGGGCTGTGGACAATGTTGGGAAAGTATTTAAAAGTGCCTTTTTTTTTGTCTTCAGATGCACAGGTGTAGATTTCTTATTTTAGGCAAGCATTATACTCTATCCACAAAATGAATGAACCAATGCCACTAGGTCCAATCAATGTGTTTTCTGCCACCAATTATATGTAAGTTTGTTTGCTGCAATGTGGCACAATTTATTTCTGTCATGTTGGCATAACATTTGTATTCCACCAATAGTTTTGTAATTGTGAACGTGATAATGAGCAGATAATGTTTTTGTCTTGTCGACCAGGGGATAGATATTTGCTAGTACACTTTAACATTGTGTCATGAGATCTTTCTCAACCACTAGAATAGGCTGATGGTGCCTCAGTTAATTGTTTTTGAAAATATTAGCACCTCCGAGAGTGCACCATTCCCTCAGCACATAATGTTTATGTACTCAAACCTGGAATTGTACTCAAACCTAGAGTTCCAGAGGTCTGGAATGCACTGACTGGAATTGTTGCAAAGGTAGGTTCATCATGGCATTCAACACAGCAATGTAATTCTGGGCTAGTAGTCCAGAATCCGAGTTTAATGCTGTGGAGAGTTAGGTTCAAATCCAGGTGGTAAAATTCGAAACTATTTTTCTTTTAAATCTGAAATTTAATAAAAAGTTGCTAGCCTAATGATGACACTGTTGATTCGCATAAAAACCAATCTCGTTCACTAATGTCCTTCAGGGAAGGAAATCTGCCGTCCTACCCAGCCAGACCTACTTGTGACTCCAGACTCTCAGCAACATGATTAATTTTTCCAACTGCCATCCTCTGGGCGGTTAGGGATGGGCAATAAATGCTGGCCTAGCCAGCAACACCCAACTCCTGTGAATGAATAGTAAATTGAACTTTCACAATGTCTTTGAACTTTGGTGACAAGCAGATATTTGTCCAGTTAATGTTAAAAGACTTAACTGGAAAAATATAGCTTTAGTGGATGGGAACTATTTCATAGTTAGAGGACATTTTTCTGGTCTTATGCCAAATTTGTACCCATGAAGGGGCTGATACAAATTTTCCTTTAACAACACCAATTTAAATGTGGTATGCTGCCAAAAAAGCTTGAACAGACACCTTGGAACACATGCATGTTTGTTCTAGATACAGTAATTACACATAGATAAATTGCACATACCCACATTTGCAAAGATGAAACTCATGTTTTAACAACCAAATTGCTCTTTTCCAATTCAGCATTTCTGTCACTTTTCAGTTAATAAATAAGTACACATTTCGTCCCTCAGTTTCTCATAATCATTGATCACTCAACAGTCGCAGAGTAGAGCAGCAATCTACTCTCAGGAAATTACTGACATGAATCAAAATCTTACAATAGGTTGCTGTGCAACATCGCTTTTATTTTTAGCTCTATATAATAATTTTTAAATGTGAATACTAACTTAGTAATAGGTTTGTTTTAATACACCAGAGTGACCATGTACAGACATTGTCATTCACATGCTGAAGCTTGACTGTTAACGTTTTTGGACTGGAGTTCACCATTCTGCTATGTGAACATTGTACTGCCTCCCTTTCCCTGTCAGCAAACATTGGATCTGACTTAATGTCTAAACGTCTTAGTGTGGAGGTGCCGGTGTTGGACTGGGGTGGACTATAACCTGGCGTCGTGTGATTTCTAAATCGTTTAGGATATCTAAGTCAGAAAAGGCTCACCAATCTAAGTCACCAATAACTCCAATGAATCGTTCACAGGAACTGAGGAAGGGTCACCAGACCCAAAACATTAACACTAATTTTATTCTTCACAGATACCGCCAGACCTTCTGAGCTTTTGCAGCAACTTCTGTTTTTGTTCCTGATTTACAGCACCCGGAGTTCTTTCAGTTTTCACTCCCTTCTTGATCTGTCTCCAGTATTTGGCATGCTTAACCACACCTTTCTTAACCACTGCTCATTGTCTGCTGACTAACTACATGGGGCTGCATTTATTTGATTCTTATTTATCTAACAATAGTCAATGAATCACCTGCAAAGAAGTCACTTCCTGACCCTGTATATTACTTTTGATATTTCCATGGGTCTGGACTTGCAAACCACAACTGTTAACAGCCCCCTTCCCCCAACATTCTCCCCAGTTTCTCATTTACTTAATATTTGTTGTGACAACTAATTCCACCATAACATGAATACTGTCAACCCCGCTCCAATCCATAAGCTGGCAGATGGGTTGTCTTGATATCAATAGCAGAAATTTTCTCTAAATAAATATTAGTAAGTTCAACCTTACTATCAAAAGTCCTTATCTCAAACTCTACTCTCTTGAAACCTACTTCTTTGACCAACCATTCGATTACAGGTCCTAATATTTCCAAATAGTTGTCATGGTAATGTCACTAAGCTAGTATCCAGAATCCAGGATAATGATCTTGGGTCACAAATTTGAATCCCACCATAGACGATTATTTGATTTAATAAAAAGTTGGACAAATGGAAAGCATGTATCAATTTTCATGAAAACCCATCTGCTTCACTGATGTCCTTCAATAAAGGAAATCTGTCATCCTTGGCTGGTCTGGTGAACATGTGATTTCAGACCCATAGCAATGTGGTTGACTATTAACTCTCCTGCGGGCAACAAATGTTTGCCAGTCAGTGACACTTACATCAAATCAACAAATATAAGAAAAATTGGCTTAGTGACATATTAAGTTTCACAATCCTCCTATGCAGCTGCTTGGGGTGTTCTGCTTTGTACAAAACATTATATAAGTACAATTTGCTATTTTGTTGTCATATGCTATTATGATTGATTATAATTATGTATAATAATGTAGTCTAGTAACATAGTAAGTTAGTTCTATAATAATAAAATAAGTTGGCACATTTCCCTAAACAATAAAATGAAACATTTTCATGGTTTTGAGATCCATTTAAACTATTCTGTCTAATTTTGGTAAAGCTAAGAACAATGTGTAGTATTATAAGTCAGGAACAAACATTTGAACTTGTTGAAATGACAGTGTCAGAAAAACTATGACCAAATAACGGTAGGAAAAAAACTAATTGGTTTTGACAACCAAAGAATTAAAGGCAATTAGTTCAGATGAAAAATTCCAACTATTAACACTGACTACAGCACGGGACTGCTGCAGGCAAAGAAATACACAGGCAGTTCAACAATGATTAAGTCTTCACTTAAGTCAAGTATACATTCTTATGCTGCAATTGTTATTCTTTTTACATAATTGTAATTTTATTTACTACTTAGTGGTGTGGTAGGTGACTCGGATTGATTTACAATCATAATTTGCAAAATGCAACCGTCCTTCACTGATCGTACTTTGCTAGAAAAATAATCTTGCTTTTGTCAGTAAAAGTTACAATTATTCATAAATTCTCATAGATTCATACAGCGCAGAAAAAGCCCTTTGACCCTTTGAATCTGCACTGACAGAACAACCTCTAAAGGCGCGCTCATTTCCTGCACTTGTCCCATTTCCTTGAATGTTATAATATTTGAAGTACCCATCCAAATTATTTTTTTAAAGATTGTAAGGTTTCCAGCCTCCACTACCTTACCAGGCAGTGCATTCCAGATTCCCACCAGCTGCTGAGTGAAAAAGGCTTTTTGTTCCCAAATCCCCTCTGAATCTCCTACCCCTCACCCTAAAACAATGCCCTCTTGTGATTGACACCTCAAACAAGGGGAACAGCTGCTCTCTATTCACCCTGTCCATACTCCTCCATAATCTTATATACCTAGGCCATATCCCCCATCATGATTCTCATCACTTTTTTTTTAATAGACTCTTTAATGGGACTTTGTTTGCATTGTCGTTTGTTGACTTCGTAGACTTATTTTGCTGTTACTACGCTTGTTTTTTTAAAAGCCTAAGCAATAAATTCCACCTTGCTTTCAACTCATCAATTGAAGCATTGTCATTCCAATTATTAACAATGGATGTACCAGAAAGTTAAGTTATGCAGATGCAGCTTTCATGCCCTGCAAATGGAGGCCTTGGTCTGGTCCACTGTGTTAAGGAAGGTCATATGGAAGTTTGGGTGTGAATCTACAATGATTACAATAAAACGAGTAAACCAAGCTATTGCGACTGCTGTAAATCTCATATGTTGACTTGTGAGTGGAAGGCAAATATCTAACACATTTAATTATGTATTGTATTTGTCACTTTAGGTGTACCAAAATAGCTAGCATTCAATTAATATCTAATTGCAAACCAACAAATCACTCAATAATTTTCTCAATTCTTACACTCTCGTGCCATCAAGATTTTTTTTAAGGCAATCATTATGTATCATTTGGAAAGGTTCCCAGTTTCATAGGATAACACTGCAGAACGTGACACTCTAGTGTCAAACAGAAGTAATGACTTTTGACTGAAGCTAATTTTATTGTAGGCATCACTTAATCATATCAATGAGAAGAAAGAGACTGACTTTTAAACATCAATGCTCGAGCACAATTAGTTTTATAATTTGTGGTGCAAGTACCTACCTGGCGTGTTTAAAAGGCGTGACTTCTTGCAGTGATAGACCACTTTCTGCTCACAATAGTCCATGCTGTTAATCATGGCTCGAAGCTGTTCCATGCTGGCATTGTAGCTTAGCTGCACAAGGTAAGGCTTTTCTGCACTGGAACCTCTCACTTTCGTTAGCTCAGTATTGTTGTGCTGAATCACTGTCCAGGTTTTATCTTCTGTTCATTTTTAAGGAAGAAAATACAAGCATTAGAGGCCTAAGAACACATAGCTGTGGCATACAGAAACTTGACGTGTAATGAACACCGGAACAGCATTTGCTCCAACGCTATGTGATCTCGAGGATGAACAATGATAGCTCAGGTTCTGTGGTGGTATCACCTGTGAAGAGTCATCATTGTCAGCATGACTCCAATGAAACAGACAGCAACTATTGGGGTCCACGTATGAGCAAACTGACACAGAAAGTGTGTACAGAGCAAGGCGAGAAACAGAAATCTATTTCAGTGTGGTGCTCGTTGTACTGGGTGCTATTGCTGCCATGACTACATTTCAAGGTGAAAGAATGAGGCAACATGGTCAGCTATTGAAGAAGAGAACAGCGGAAGATGAACTGACCACCTGATTTGTCTGTCTATATCTTATGGAAACCAAATAATTAGGCCACAGATTGAGCATCAACTCTTATAATTTAATTTTTACTGGTTTACATACTTGTGGCAGTCAATCAAGATCTAATTGTTTGGGCAAATTCCAAGTTTTGAGTCACTGGTGCCTAGAGTGAACTTTTGAACCAGATAGGGTGAGGTTGGTCCCAGGTGGAAATAGTCTACAAGCTGCAAGTACTGGATTTTTGCCACTAATCGCTGTGTTTGAATGATTATATTTCATCATTGTTGATTATTTGACCCCATTAAGGATTGAATGAGTTGCATTCAAAATCTTGGATTTTTCTAATCAGTGAAATTTAGATTTAATATACGGTTGAGACATTTAACGTTTTGAGATGGGAAGTAGATAAATCTTAATAGTGTAGGCCTTAGCAATGATTCTCCAAAGTATAAGAAAGGAAGGAGACATTGTTTTGAAAGAAAACGTCTCTGATATATTTTGGATGCAGGCTAAGTGTTTAGCCTGGACTGTATAGGAAGTTGTGGGGAGCTCATCTTTGATTTGCTGCCAGTTAAACTCAATAGCCAATTATAAGCTGAGTATCACAAAATTCCCTCTTGAGAATATGGTTATATTTCGGGATAAGGGCGGGAATCCAAACTTAAAACACAGGAATTGGTTGTGAGTAAGTTGTCATAATCATAACCAGCCATTTCATGTTTTTGTGACTATTGTAGTTCCTTTCCTGTTACAGAGGATGGCACCAAATCCATCACCACATGCATCTCGCCCTGTTTCTTTTTTGATCATTCGTTCAAGGGATTTGGGTTGACTGATTAGGCCAGCAATTATTACCTATCCCCAATTGCCTTTGAGAAGTTGATGGTGAGCAGCTTTAGTAGGTCTGGTGTAGGTAAACTCACAGTACTTTAAGGAAGGGAGTTCCAAGATTTTGACACAGAAGTTGTGAAGGAACATCAATCTAGTTCCAAATCAGGATGGTGTGTGACTGAGAGAACTTGCAAATGTTGATTTTCCTTGTCCTTCGTGTTGGTAGAGGTCATAGTTTTGCAAAATGCTGTTAAAGGAGTTTTTCTCACTGAGTTACTGCAGTGTCTATTGTTGATGGAACATACTGCTGCAACTGTGTATTGGTGATGGAGGTAATGAATGTTGAAGGCAGTAGGCAAGGAATCAATCAAACAGGCTGCTTTGTCCTGCATTCTGTCAAAGTTCTTGAGTGTTCTCACAGTTGCACTTATTGAGGCAAGTGGGATTCCTTTGCACTCCTGTCATGTGCCTTGTTCAGGTTTTCAGGAGTCAGGAGCTGAGTTGCATGCCACAAAACACCCATCCTCTGAACTGTTCTTGAAGCCACAGTATTTAAGCAGTGGATCCACTTAGTAAGTGGTAACCCTACACTGGGGAGGTAATGGCCTAGTGGTATTATCGCTGGACTGTTAATACAGAGGCCCAAGTAATGTTCTGGGGACCTGGGTTCAAATTCTGCCATGGCAGATGGTGGAATTTGAATCCAATGAATAACTGGAATTAACCATGAATGACCATGAACCTATTGTTGATTGTCAGAAAAAAACCCACCTGGTTCACTAATGTCCTTTAGGGAAGGAAACTGCCATCCTTACCTGGTCTGGCCTAAATGTGACTCCAGACCCACAGCAATGTGGTTGACTCATAAGAGCCCTCAGGGCAATTAGGGATGGGCAAGAAATGCTGGCCTAGCAAGTGATGCGCTCATCCCGTGAATGAATTTAAAAAAACACATCCCCCCAGGATGCTGATAAGACTAGAAGACATAGGAGCAGAAGGACCATTCAGCCCACCACATCTGTTCACCCATTCGATCATGGTTGATAAGTTTCTCAACCCAATTCACTTGCCTTTTGCCTGTAACTCTTTACACCATTTCCAATCAAGATTCTATCTATCTATGTCTTAAATATACGCAATGACTTCGCCTCCATAGTCCTCTGTGGCAATTAGTTCCACAGGTTAACTACCCTCCAGCTGAAGAAATTCCTCCTAATCTCAGTTCTAAAGGATCATCCTTCACGGCTGTGCCCTCAGGTCCTAGTCTCTCCTGCAAATGGAAACATCTTCTCCACATCCACTCCCTCCAGGCTTCTCTGTATTCTGTAAGTTTCAGTCAGATCCTCCCTCTTCCTTTTAAACTCCATTGAGTACGGGCCCAGAATTCTCAACAGCTCCTCATATGACAAGCTCCTAATCACCGGGATCATTCTGTAAACCTCTTATGCACCCCCTCCAACACCACCATATCCTTCCTTAGATATTGGGGCCCAAGACTGCTCACAACATTCCAAATGCAGTCTGAGCAGAGCCTTAGGAGTGGATGTGGAGTAGATATTTCCACTAGTTGGGGAGACTAGCACCTGAGGGTACAGCCATGAAGGATGTCCCTTTAGAACTTAGGTTAGGAGGAATTTCTTCAGCCAGAGGATAGTTAACCTGTAGAACTTGTTTTAGATGGTCATTGTCTTGCATTTGAGTGACACAAATTTATTTGTCACTTGTCAGACCTTACTTGAATATCCTGTGCCAGGAATCACAATTTCTACATTTAAATTGCATGACCATGTATCTAAATGGGTATGGTTTACACCCCATGACTATTAGAAGTTTCAAGGTATTGTGACTGATGTACTGCTGCCAATTGTATTTATAAAACATAACATTCAGACCCCTCTGAGGTGGAATTGTGTAGTTATTGTTTTGAATAATAAAGTTTTGGGAGATATCTGATGAGAACAAATGTAAATGTTCCTTAAGACCTATAATCAGAAGTGGATTATTTCTGCAAACCGACAAACAGTTGCGATCAAAAACTCAGATCTAAATGTAAAACAAAAAGAAAGTCTGGAAAATAGAAAACTTTGGAAATGCACAATGTGTCAAGCAGCCCACGAAAGAAAATATAAAGATTAATCAAGGGTGATTCAATGATCCTTCTCTCTCAAATGGTTCAGGAACTGGTGTTGCTATGTGCTAGCCTTGTTCATGTATCCTGAGAACTTAGTTTCCATTTGGGAACACTGTATTAAGTCTGATATTGTAATATAGCACTGATGAAGAGTCACCCTTTTCACCACCCTCTGCTCAAGAATATAATTCTTGTTTCTTCCTTCAAAAGCTAATTGACTTGTTAAGCATATCTTTCATTGTGTGTTTTTGCTTGATCTATCCTTTTCCATAATATGATCCTTGCTTTGCAAAGAAAGATCAGAATAAAAGTGTTCGGTGAGTGGAAGAAAATACCTTGTTTGTCTTGTATGTGTTTTTGATTTCCTATAGGCTCTGATTTATTGTCTCCTCAAAGCAAAAGTAATGCGAAGCAGCTTACCTGTCATGTTACAGTATACAAGGAGTGGTCCCACTGGACCGCTGCCATCTGGATCAATGAAGAAGAAACCTGATGTATTCCCTGTGTGTTTGTAAGCTTCACATGACTGTTCATGCACCGCTGAAATAAGACAAACAAAATAAGCAGAATCTTTCAGTCTAGGTTTTTGACATTGTTATGAAACCAGGGTTTTAACATAGGGAAACATTCTGGCACACAACGAGAGCAAAGTCAGGAGCAAAATGCTAATGGAAATTGGATGTCTGAAATAAGAACAATAGATGTTGGAAATTCTCAGAGCATGCAGCAGCATCTGCCCACAGAGAAACAAAGTTAATGGGCAGGAACTTCCTGTACATTTCAGAGCCCTTATGTTGGAACCCAACACTAACACTTGCCGGGTGTCTAAACTGAAGGGACTCGTTTCTCGTGAAATGTCCTCCTCATTACTTCGTTTCCATGCTATTAGAGATGGTGGGTGGACTTCCAATTCTGCTGGCCTGATTAAAGGGAGGCTGTTTTACATCCCTTGGCAGCCCCACCAGGAGAGGTAGAGCATCTGAGGAAGGTAGGTGACATTGATCAAAATAGTGGTGCCTTCACAGACAGAAATTTGAACTATAAAGTCAGAGGGGTCAAACGCGCAGGTCCCTAAGATTCATGGGAAACCTTTGGGTTTGGAGTGTGGGTGCCACCCTTGCTGTAGTGTCACCCTTTCCCCTACTGCCTTTGTGAGATGGATTGAATAGTTGAGAACAGTCCCCCAGTTTTCTGCATGGAATCCACCCCAAATGGAAAGACAGAAAAACTGGCTCTACTTCACACCATAGTTGCTTGAAATAGCTGCCCACCTCCATTCAGCAGGCAATCGAGCTGTACACCAAATGCCTCTGGGAGACATACTCAATAATGGAGAAGTATTGTGCAGACATCCGTGATAATGGGAACACATTGTCCAATCATCCCCAATTCCCAAGCCACCCTGAGTCACAGCCTGCTATCCTGGAGCAGAAAATTCAGTCCAACATCTCAGGATAATGAACTTTTTTCTGTCTATTTGCAGTACAAAATAATTTTCATCACCCCTAGATCATTTCTTAGGGCTAAAATTCTTAGGGCTCAAAAGGAATAGGGAGAAAGCAGGAACAGGGTACTGAGTTGTATGATCAGCCATGATTGTATTGGAGGTGGACCAGGCTCAAAGGGCAGAGTAGCCTAATCCTGCCTCCATTTTCTATGCCTTGGCGTTTCTATCATCAGAATTTCCAATCAAGATATTAAGTACATTCAACAGAAAGGAAAAACCAATTGACCCCATAGAGATTAATTACAAACAATGAAGAGTCTTGAACAAATTAACAGGGAAAGATTATTTTGGGTTTCGTGAGGAATTAGTAACTGAAAATTATTTGCAAGTGATTTTAAAGATGACCGAGGGTCAATTTATTTATGCAAAGGGTTTTTCAAGAATGGAATTAACTGACCGAGATAGAAAATCTGTTATTCAAGGATTAAACATTTGAAACAAAGACACCATCAATGGAAGACCAAAGGATGATGAGGTTCATTCCAGATTGTTCAGTTCAGCCAGGATGGACCAAACGGCTTTCTGCGTTAGAACTGTCAATGGTTCACTGAGCCAGTGATGTATATGTTCCATGAACAAATGTGAAGGAAACAAGATTGAGAGTTGGGGAAAGAGACATAGTGCTTGTAGGGTAGGGGAAGGGGCACATATGGTGGTGGAGGAAGGGAGGAACTGAAGGTGGGGAAATCAAAGGCAAAGTGGTTGACTGCTGTTGAAATCCATATTAACTGGCTTCTCAATCAACTGGCAGTCTTGATAAACTGGCAAATATTTATACCTCAAATATCGCAATCTACCATGATGTATGCTGGAAATAAAGTACAACAGTGATGTGTATACCCCCTGCATTACATTTCTATTACATACTGCATGTTTTTACATTGATTTTAGGAGCTGTGTTGATGGATACATAAAACGTTTTTACATTTTTTGAGGGATGTTGATGTCTTGAAGCTTTGCATGGTCAGTAATAGGGTTATGTGTACCTCTTGATTCATAGAATCCTTACAGTGTGAAAGCAGGCCTTTTTCTTATTCATTCATTGGGCAAGGACATTGCTGGCTAGGCAGCACTTACTGCCCATCCCGAATTGCCCAGAGGGCAGTTAAGAGTCAACCACATTGCTGTGGGTCTGGAGTCACATGTGGGCCAGACGAGGTAAGGACAGCAGTTTCCTTCCCTAAAGGACATTAGTGAACCAGATGGGTTTTTCCAACAACTGACAATGGATTCACACTCATTATTAGACTCTTAATTCCAGATATTTATTGAATTCAAATTCCACCATCAACCGTGGTGGGATTCGAACCCAGAATGTTATTTGGGTCTCTGAATTGACAGTCCAGTGATAATACCACTAGGCCATTGCTTCCCCTCACTTTCGGCCGATCGAGCCCACACCGACCCACTGAAGGGCATCCCAGCCAGACCCACGACATCCCTGTAACCCCGCATTTCCCATGGCTAATCCACATAGCCTCCACATCCATGGGCATATCTGGGCAATTTAACATGGCAAATCCACCTAACCTGCACATCTTTGTTTTGCGGTAGGAAACTGGAGCACCTGGAGGAAACTCACACAGGCACAAGGAGAATGTGCAAACCCCACACAGACAGTTGCTTGAGGGTAGAATTGAACCTGGGTCCCTAGTGCTGTGAGGCAGCAGCGCTAACCACTGAGCCACTATATTGCCCTAAAGTTACTGATGGAGATCAGAAGCAGATAGTCTGTGACTGATGAGAGAATTTCATGCTTTCACACAAAAAAGAAACATTATAATCATAAATAGCTTGCATGAAACACATCAAATGAATCAAACTGTGACTCGATTAGAGGGCATGAGGTTAAAATTATTGGCCTCAAGAAAATAAAACTAAATATAATAGATGGTGGGAGAGGAATTTCTATTCATTAACACCCTCATAAAGAAATTGATTGGGAATGAAATCAGTGATTTCAGGCCTAGAAAAAGATAACCAAATACCCACAATAGTTTTTTTTTATGCACTCATAGGAATGAAGGAGGGAGCGTGTCCCCCGCAGAGACCAGTTGGCCAATGCTCATGTAATTGAGATGTGGAGACGGATGAATATTCTTGAAGGTGTGTTTGATTTCCTTCAACCATCAAGGAATATTTAAACAGAACCTTTCCTCAGAGGATTTAATAGGCCATGAAGAGTTCATGATGAAGTTAATTATCGACTTGATGAGATAAGCAGCTTGCCTCACTCGCACCTCCCTACAGTTGTAGAAAGTCACACATTGGTATGCGGAACACTGTAACAACCAAATATGCTTCTTCAAACAAACAAATAGAACTATAATTTTAAAATCAATGCAAATTTAAGGGTTGCATTGAGTAGGCTGTCTTGACTTGGCAGTGGCCTGCTAAAAATGAATCACTTATAAAACAGAAAAGGTTCACACGGCTCTACTTACAATTATGGCAGGTGGCTCTTTTATAGCCCGTTCCTGAACAGTTGCAGTAAAAGGTGCTCCAAGACTGCGAACATTCTCCTCCATGCTCACAGTAATTTGGCAAACATCTAATGCATAAAAAGGAAAGTTAATGCAATAGATATACCTGAATAACAACAACTTCTCTTAATATTGTGTTTTAGCACAGTAAGCTATTCCCAAGGTACCTCAGGAGATTTATTGGACTTTAGTTTGAAATGCTAAAGAGATATTCAGAACAGTGACGAAAAACTCGGTCGACGAGGTCGGTTTTAAAAAAAGAACTCACAAAGAAGAAAGAGACAGAGAGGGGTTTCAGGAGGGAATTCGAGAGCTTAGGATTTTGGCAGCTGAAGGCACGGCCCCCAATCAATTTGGGTGTTATCCCAACTCAATCGAACCTAAATAGAATTCACGCATATGAATGTGAACTAGTGCTCAGGTTGCTTTCAAATAAAGTTAAAAGAAAGGTCAATTTCAAACTGTTGTTAGAATGGGGATGGTCAGTGGCCATGAAGGAGGCAGTTTGTGCTTATTGGAGCAGCAAAAGTCCAAGTTATTTTATACAAGGACTCCAATAGCACACAATGTATGCGAATGCTAAAAAGCTGGATGGACAGCAAAACTAGGACATTTATCATTCCTGAGGAACCTGTCAGTATACGTCTGTAGGGAAAATGATGGGGGTGGAAGGGTGATTGATGGGAGGCACTGGCAGCGGGGAAGGGGACTGACCGAGTATTTAACCTGAAATGAGAGGCAGCAACACTGCAGAATACCTTTGTGGGTCTGGATGGTCACACACGTTTGCCTTGGCCCCATGAAAATGAGAATAAAAAGAATGGCCAGTTTTAGAGTTCCCAGCATTGATCTCTTTAAGCATCTACTCTTTTGTATTTATTCTATCATGGGATGTGTATGCCGCTAGCGAGGCCAGAATTTATTGCCCATCCCTAATTACTTTTGAACTGAATGGCTTGCTGCGTCTTTTAGAGGAGAGTCATAGAGTCGTGCAGCATGGAAACAGACCTTTCGGTCCAACCAGTCCATGCTGACCATAATCCAAAACTAAACTAGTCCCATCTGCCTGCGCCTGGCTCATATCCCTCCAAATATTTCTTATTCATGTACTTATCCAAATATCTTTTAAATGTTGTAAATTGTACTTGCATCTCCCATTTGCTCTGGAAGTTCATTCCACACGTGAACCGCTCTCTATGTAAAACAAAATTACCCCCCAGCCATTTTTAGATCTTTCTCCTCTCAACCTTAAAAATATGCCCCTGAGGCTTAAAATGCCCCAGGCTGGGGAAAAGACACCTGCCATTCATCTTATCTATACCCCTCATGATTTTATAAACCTCTGAAAGGTCACCCCTCAACCTCCTAAGCTCCAGTGAAAAAAGTCCCAGCCTCTCCAGCCTCTCCCCATAACTCAAATCCCCTGTTCCCAGCAACATCTTGGTAAATCTCTTCTGAACCTTCTCCAGCTTAATAATATCCTTCCTATAACAGGGCAACACGAACTGGACACAGGACTCCAGGAGAAGCCTCATCAATGTCCCGTACAACCTGAGCTTATCATCCTAACTCCTTTACTCAAAGGTCTGAGCAATGAAGGCAAATGTACTAGCTGCCTTCATAACCACTCTATCTATATGTGATTTTCTTTTCCTTTATTCATTAACAGGATGAGGGCATCGCTGGTGAGGCAGCATTCATTTCCCATCCCTAACTGTCCAGAGGGTTCTTCTGAGTCAACCACATTGCTATGGGTCTGGAGTCACATGTAGGCCAGACCGGGTAAGGATGGCAATTTTGAATCAGATGGGTTTTTCCCGACAATCGACAATGGATTTATGGTCATCATTAGATTCTTAATTCTAGATATTTTATTGAATTCAAATTCCACCATCTGCCATAGCAGGATTTGAACCGGGTCCCCAGAATGTTTTCTGGGTCTCTGGATTAACATTCCAGTGATAATACCACTAGGCTATCACCTCCACAAATTCCAAAGAATTATGTACCTGAACCCCTAGGTCTCTCTGTTCCACAACATTACCCAAGATCCTATTTTTAATTGTGTAAGTCCTGTCCTTTTTTTTACCAAATGCAATACCTCACATTTATCCAAATTAATTGCACAGAGCAGTAAAAGTCAACTACATTGCTGTGCGTCTGGAGTCACTTATAGGCCAGACCAGGTAAGGATAGCAGATTTCTTTCCCATAAGGCATATCTATGAGCGAGATGGGTTTTTACAACAACGGTGATAGCTTCACATTACCATTATTAAGATTATTTATGAATTAATTCAAATTCCATCAGCTGCTATTGTATGCCTTTATTTTTATCAAGTCTGACCATTCCCAGGTTTTAAACTGAAAGAAATGAACCATGAAACCTGTTGTTTAACAGACAGTGCTACAAACTCACAGCAAGCTGTCCAGCACCTGAAAAGGGGAGATAAGGTAATTTTTTACCGTGACACTTTATTAGAACTAAATATGCAAATAAGCCTTCAGCTTCATTGTTGTGTAAATGATGTTGGCATGTGTTTTGTTTGTCCAGAGCAATGAATCATTTTACAAATTATGTGCTTCGATTCAGAATTAAAGAATAGGTGCCTAATTATCAGAGAAATGGCTCTTGCTAGTAAAGTCTGTCTGGCAACTTATGATTAGTTGTGTGTAATTGTTCATGAAATACCATTATATACATGTCAAGGAGCTTTCATTGCACTGTACTTGATAGATCTTCTCACTTGTTAGTGTTGCTGGATTCCAAGAGGTGCTAGTATTGAATTTACAACAGTGTATTGAATTTAATCGAGACATTTTTTATGGTTTTGTTGCCTGAGTATTCAAGGTGACCCAGAACAAAAGCTATTGCTGGAGCATCCCTGGATAGATGACAGTGGAAATAGGTGCTGACTCAGAAGTGAAGCTATTGCTGGAGAATCTCTGGATAGACCACAGTGGAAATACCTGGAGAATAGAGGTGCGCATTTGAGGATAACAGTAAACTCTGTTGTCTGGCCACCGACTCTATCCATCTTACAGGCCAATGCCTGAGGCTCAAGGAGACTGAAACCAGCAATTTGATACCATTGCAAAGCTTTTAATCAGATGTCCACACCATCTCAAGACCAATTATGATCAATTCCACAACATTGAATGATGTGGTCCCTGTCACAGTTCAACTGTTATTGAGAACCCCACTTATGGAGATGTTATCTACAGACAATCACCGACACATTTCTGAATAGCCTCCGATCTTCTAACCTTGCTGACTTCAAGTTTTCCAAAATGCAACGGCCCATATCCAAACTCGCATCAAGCCCTGTCCATCCTCAGTAATGTGCCTGCTGACTTACATTGTCTCCCAGTCCAGCAATGCATTAATTTACTTTAAGTTTTCAACCCCCTCACTGTCTTCGCCCTTAAGTCTGTAATATGTTCTAATCTGACAATCTACTGACAAATTTGTGCTCATTAAATTCTGGCCTATGGCATGTCTGCAATTTTAACGGCTTCACCATTTGTCCATAAATTTAAAAAACATTGGATTTGTAATAACTAAAGTATCCAGCAGATGGTGCTTTTTTCTGAGCCTTATTTCACACCAGAAAAGGTGATATGAAAAGCCCCTGGTCTTTTGTTCCTGGTCTAGTTCCCTTGTAATTGCATAATTGCTGAGTAACAAAATGTTGACCCAACTTAATATATCTGAACTGCTTATTAATTAACTTCTAAAAGACTTTAGTGAAAATTTAATCTTAAGATTAATTTATTTTTCTTGTACCTTTCCCCAAGCTGCATTATTACTGTATTTCTAGCTTGTCAACATTTTTCATCAGTGTCTCAAGATCCTTTTCTTGCCCAAGTCATTCATAGAACAGATTTTCCACTTTTAAAGTGGAAGCCTGTATAGCGTATGCAGCTGAGTGATTTTTGCCTTGTTTATGCTTTTAAAGGCCCATTCTTTATTTTGAAACTGAAACAGAAATTGTTGGAAAATCTCAGCAGGTCTGGTAGCATCTGTGGAGAAAAATTAGAGTTAAAGTTTTGAGTCCAGTGACCCTTCTTCAGGACAGAGCATTCTGAGGAATGGTCACTGAACCCAAAATATTAACTCTGATTTTTCTCCACAGATGCTGCCAGACCTGCTGAGATTTTCCTGCAGTTTCTGTTTTTGTTTCAGTTCCCCAGCATCTGCAGTTCTTTTGTTTTTTATTGTTTATGTTAAATTATTTAGGAATGGTGTAAATAAGGAAATAAGCTGCGATCAAGCCTGTTAATTATTACCAACGACAACTTTCATTTATATAGTGCCTTTAATGTGCTAAAATGTTCTTGGGTGCTTAACAGGCACATTATAACCCAAAACATGAAACCCAGCACATAAGGAGTTATTAGTGTAGTGTAACATATTAATTTAGATATAGTGAGTGAGTTCTTATTGCAAATCATCACAGGAATTAATGCAACACCATATATTTTTTCAGGGCAGCTTTGTAATATAATCAAGGGTAATCAAGTGACTTCCATTCATATTCATTTAAAAATAAGTTGGGAAGAGTAATCACAACATCAGTCTTGGCATTACTATTTTCATTGATTTTGTGAAGGTTTGCACTCAGATGACATTAGCATGTATAACATTATACATCTGCAGACTCATTTTGTATTTTGTATTAATCTAATAATACCAAAGATATCACAGTTAGCACAGATAAACAAAGGTGTAGGTTTTGTACAGTATCTAAAAGGAAGAAAGCAAGTAAGCTGGTTAGGCAGAAAGGTAAAGGAGTAACTTCTAGAGTGTAGGGACTATGTAGCTGAAGGCAAGGCCAACAACCAGTGTAGCAATTAAAATCAGGGAAACTGAAGAGGCCAGATTTAAAAAGAAGATATCCCAGAGGGTTATGGAGCTAAAGAAGATTAGTCAGATCAGAGTGTGATGAACTCATGCAGGGATTTGAACATGAGGATAAGTATTTTAAAATTCAGTAATAATGATGTAAATTAATATTCTTAATTATCACATGCAATCTCACATATCAAGACTTTAATGTCAATCGCAA